AATGTCTTATTGCTAATACAAAAAACAATGTACAGAGAGAAAATGAGAGCTCTCCAAGAGACCATGATTGTAAATACGCTTTACATATCTCAGCTGTAAAATAAATGCTTATTCATTTAGAGTCCTTGCTCCAGTGATCCTTGTATGAACCAAGCAACATGTGTGGCCAAATACGAGAAAAACGACTACCTGTGCGCATGTGCTGCAGGATATCTTGGGAAACACTGCGAAATAGGTATTTCAAACCTTCAATTGAATTTTATATACTTCTTTCTGATTTACTGATTTTTTTTTATTTTCTCATATTATTTTACTATAAGTTGGACATATTTTAAAACAACAAAGTATTTTGTTTCTTAACATCGGCGTTTGATTAAGTTGGCTGAGCTGAGCATGTAGAAAAAGTTTATAAACCAGTAACTGCCACTAAGGGATTTGGCCGGGTGCGAAGGTCTACTGTTAGAAATGTAACTTTTTCCTAAAAATTATAGGAAAAAGAAAAAAAGAACTCTGTGATGCGTTAACTATGCAACATAGATAACGTATCTCTTTGAACTGGATCATGTGATATTTATCTCGCTCTGCAATCAGGTCCACCGCTTGACTGCCAAGATACAAAGAATCAAGGGCTTTCTCGGGGCGATGGATTGTACTGGCTGGACCCGGATGCAGGAAGCCATTCAAATGCATTCCTGGCATACTGTGACATGACGTCATACAATGGAGGATGGACCATGTGTTACACTACTGATGAATATGCCAAACCCAAGACTGAAGTCACATACAGCGCTCAGTTTCCTTATGGAAGTGACGGCTACAGGACAGACTGTAACGACATCGCTGTAAGTTGATTGACTACTTGTAAAATTCATCAATAATTCAAAACAGAAAATATCACTTGCAAAACATTTCGGACGACTTTAATTTCGGACAAAAAAGTGTACGAAAATAAAACCGTACCAAATTTTAAGCGTCCGAAATATTTACAGTACAGTATAAAACTTTAAAATAGCTTCAAAGCCGTTAGTTTCCTTTATGGAGTATAAACTCTACTTGAGAAACTGCTTGAGATATGTCGCAGTTTGATATCATTTTTTCTTATTAGTTCCCATCGCAGTGGTGGGTCTAAGGGAGAGGCTCGGGTCCCCTTTATTTTGGGTAAAAAAAAAATAGAATAACTGATAGCGGAATAAGTTAGTTTCTCCGGCTTTTTTACCGTTGAAGTTGGCATTTTTTATTTTTCATATGCATTTTTCCATGTTAAAACTGAGCGAAAACTAAAAACATTTTCTAGCATGCATAACCAAGTAGTCTCACTCTGTGATCAATTTGTACAGGATGTCGCCACCGCCGGGCAGATATAAATATTTCAGTTTAATAGTAATAGATGTCCAACAGTAGCAATTAAATGTAGACATGATGACTGATGCGAATGCAGTCATAACACTACTGGTAAAAAGACCTGAAAAAATATTCAGGCTTTGAACGGGAGTGGAACCCGCGACCTTTGCGATACCGGTGCAAAGCATTCAGTTATAGTACAAACATAAATTTTAAACCTGACACTGATAATCGACAGATAACCCATACAAGGCCGCATAACTGATAACGCTGTTATTGTTGTGCCTTTAAGTTTACAGAAATTATCTTCGTTGATCATCAAACTGGAAACAAGGCCTACTTTAAGAGACGTATGAACCAGCCCCTGACGGCCGCTGCGAACTATGGGAAGACTGCTAGTACCTATGGATTGTGGGATGGTGTGGGAGCTAGCGCCGCATACTCTTACCAGTTGTTGATCTGCGATAGTTCGACACCTTACGCCGGTTTTTTCATTTCCGGATACACGAGTAACTGTTACAAAGAGTGTCCAAATTGGTGCGTGGACATTTTTTCCCCATACTTCCGCACAGCGTCCACTAATTGGAATTTCAGAGGCGTGGCCTTTAACACCAATGGTTATTTTCCCAATGTCCCCGGTAACAGGCTTATTAGTATCGGTCTGCGCTGAGGTAGCGTCCAAACTACGCCGGAGAAATTTGAAAACGCAGCTTTATTTCTACCGTTAGGCTTACCGTCTACACTAATTCGTCACAAAAAAGGAGCTTTTTGAAAACGCTGTTTAAACAGGAAGAATCTGAAAACTCGTTTTCATGTGAACTGAAAACATTTACTGTGGAAACAGAGTTTTTCGAAAACGAGGACGTCACGATAATCATATGATTTTCCTGACCGAGTTTCTCAAACACAAATCCAAACTGACCGGTGGTTGCTGCGTTTTCAAAATCTTTCGGTATGGTGTGGGCAGAAGACATTTGACGCGTTTTTAGAGTTAGTGAAACCTCCGTTTTCAAATTCCTCTGGACGGGGCCTTCGATATTTTTTTGCTTACCTTATACAGATTTGTGACCACAGCTTATATTTACTCTGATTTTTGCTTGTGTTTTCAACAAAGAAAATTTCTGAAATGGCAGCCTTGTATTCTTTTAATTTTGAAGATAATCACTGCCGAGCCGTGGTTCAAAGGCACAGGTTCCCTGGCCGAATATTTAGCCAGTTAGAATTGAAGGATTTTATAGTTATAATGTTATCGTGTCAAAAGCACGAAAAAGTCAATGAAATGGATATTCACTCCAAAGAATCAACCGTTTGCCGGTCCGTCAACTGGGTCACATCTGACAAAGATCGGCGGAGAAAAGAGCTATTTGAGTATGTTGCAGTCACGGTTTAGAAGGGTTAAAGGTCTCCAGTCTCGCCGATAAAGGAAGGCAGGGTTCTGTTTCAAGAATTAAAATTCTTAGAGGTGAGCTTCTTCCTCTTCAAAGAAAGGCACGTGCGTATACCCGGTAGCGGCTACCCCGCTTGCCTAGTCTCACACGGTGAACGATGCCGGCGTGGTGACTCGGAGAAGGAGCTGATCGATTAAGATTTCTATAACTGCTCTCTAAAGGTCAATACACTGTAAGCTCTCATCAATGTTATTATTCTTTACTTCAATGTAAACTGTCACGTCGCTTCTGAACCTGAGGTTGTAAGTGGTCATGCCACACGGCCGCAACTTGAGACAGTTCTTGGGAGTGGTTAAAGCTACAGCTTGAAGAACCTGAACTCAATGGCAACGAACGCGGACGAAGAAATAAGCGCTCATGTCGACATTGAAAGTACCGCTCTTTTAACGGACGGACATAGTGACACATCGGACACAGGAAATGGTCCGAGCGGTAGTTCTCACAGAACGAGGCTTCTGGTTGTAGGCAAGCTATTTCTTCATTTGGGATGCTTGGGTTACAATTTATATCTCATCTGGCTTCTTGCTCACCTAAAAGACAATAACAACTATTGGTTCCTTTGCTTCATTCCATTCCTCTTCAATTTTGTGAGCCCCTGCATGGCATGTTACAGCAAAGAATGTTTGAATGGGAACCTCGATCGTATTGCGCCTTCGCTGAGCGTTGTTTTAAATCTGATGATCTGCTTTACAATGTTAACTCGCCAAGCTTATTACCACCGCCAGTCGGACGAATTCATTGGACCCCGATTCATCATCATTTCCTTGCAAGGAAGCATTGTTGTGATTTTACTAGACTTTTTCTTACAGAGAGAGGGAAAAGTGGATCACTCGCTTGATTGTAAAGATGCCTTGACTCGAATGTTACTTGATTTTGTTGACATTTTTAACAAAGTGGAAATTCTCTCGGTGAATGATTGTGTTGGGGTCGGATCATTTGTCTCTGAAGAGAGCTCCCTGGAGACAGCAATTCAGGTGTTCTGTACGGCTTCCTTTGTGATAGTTTGGGTGACGCTCGAAATAACGGTTGTGCGCCTTATCTTGGAGGCTCAACCGTCGATTACGCATGGGGAGACTTTGTACCCTTTGATAACCGCATGTTCTATTCATTGGCAAAATCTTCCATTTTTAGTCATCAGAATTGTAGTCTGGGCGCATTATAAGCTGTACAGCTTGGGATTTCTAGTGAAAAACGTTACTGTTATAGTCCTTTCTATTCCAATATTATTTAAATTAAAAAGATTAGGAGATGAATGACATGAATCGAACTTGCAGAACCTCCTTTGATATCATGTTTTTTGAGCCATGTTTTAATATTGCATGTGAAGTGTCTGTGAACAGACTCTGAACAGACTCTCTAATCTGCAGGGATTGTAACTCACTTGTTAAAGGACGGATGCTTTATTTCGTAACTTTGCAGTCGATCATGTTTTTATCGAGTCAGTTTAGTATACATGTACTTCTACTAGCGTTCTATCACGAGTATCGTTAGCTGATTAGCTACGCTACTCACTCTCTATTCTTTTGTAGATAGTGAGTAGCATAGCAGGGTGCGCTGAGTTAACGAAATGACGACAGCTTCTTTCGAGTTATCTGCGAAGAGGATTTCGATAAAGTTTTGAACGACTAGTAGATTTATACTAAAACAATTAGCTTATTTACTCTCGATTTCTATGCGTGATAGTTGACTCGGGCAGCCGGCGCCCTCGTCACTGAATTATCACGCGATATAAATCTCGAGCTCATAATCTAATTGTTAGATAGAAACACGATTTTTAACCAATCTATGCGAGTGCAGTACAGTGCAGTGCAGTGCAGTGCAGTGCAGTGCAGTGCAGTGCAGTGCAGTTCAGTACAGTTAAGTGAAGTGAAGACCTATTTTTTTTATACATCTATTGGCTTAAGGCAGGGGTAAAAGAGGTTAGAGAAAGCCATAATGAATTTGTCGCTAAATGTAATATTAAAATGTCAAAACAATTTAAGAAAGTATATGTTCACTACTCTTAGATAACCCACCTTCAAATGACGCAGCGAGTCTTCTGTCAGAATCTTACAGACAACTTGCGCAAGACAAGGCCTCTACACCATTACACAGTCAAGTAAAATAGCTTTCCGAAGGGGATAGAGTAGGAGATTTGACTGTTAATTGGAGAAACTCTTACTATCTGCCATTCCCCTGTACAAAACAAACAAAGCTCGGAGTATTCCAGTTCAAGTTTCTGCATAAACGAATTGCGACAAATGATTTTCTCTGTAAGATAGGCATAAAATAAGTGGATTCTTGTTCCTTCTGTGGGGAAACTACTGAAACTTTGGTCTACCTATTTTGTAGATCTGAAAGACTTTTTTTCAGTTCTCCCCTCTCTCTGCCTAGGTTTAGTTGAAATTGTATCGAATGTACTTTAACACCACTAGTTATTCTAGGCATTACGTAAATACCTGTAAATTAAAAAACTCCATATTCATTGTATTTTAATATTTCTTTTCTAGTGATGTACCTGTAAACTAGCTGATAAACTATTGTAGTGTATCACCATAGCTAAGCGTATATTCACATTAAACCAGTACTGTACTGTACTGTATTGTATCGTATTGTATTGAATTGATATTGAATTGAACTGAACTGAACTGAACTGAACTGAACTGAATTGAATTGAATTGAATTGTATTATATTGTGTTGTGTTGTATTGTATTGTGTTGCGTTGTATTGTATTGCATTGTACTGTGTACAACTACTGTTAACCTCCATGAGAATTGAAAAGAAAATAGCTCTGGATAACAGCACCCTTAATTCTTTTAAAAAGAAGTGGAACCCCTTTGACGGACGCCTTCCAGTATTAAAATAATTAACGATAGTACAAAAAAATGTCTAGCTACTAGAGGTGTTGCTATTTAGGTATTAGTTTAAGTATATGTATAAGTAAGAATCGTTAGCAGTTTTAGTTGTTGTATTTTTTTACAACGCAAGAGTAACCGCGTCCTTATAATGTAAGGTCCCACTTATATGGTCTCGGGTACCCGAGACAACCCTCCCCCCGAGTTAACCTGGCCGAGGTAAGTTTTAGCTTATTTCTTTACAAAATTCAACCAACCGTTTACATTAGGATCGCGGCCCCGTCTCGGGGGGCGAGACAACTCGGGTAGGCGAGTTGTCTCGCCTCGCCAGGTAGGGTAACCCTAGCAAGCGGGACAGCTTTTCTTCATATAAACGCTTTGGCATGCCTAACCGGGACAACTCTCGGCGTGGCGAGTGTCACGTAATGCCTAGATTTAGGATTTAAAGCAGAAATTCGTATCAGAGAAGTGAAAATTAACTCGGCAAAACCCACTGTCATCGAATGACCAAGGGGAACTCAAAGAAAGAGGGATATTTGCACATTTGATTATTCAATTATATGGGTTATGAATGATCGTGCAGGGTCAACTTTGACTCGGCGCACAGGAACTTCGTTTTCACATATAAACGCTCGCCAAAGTTGCCTCGGGGATCGAGTTGTCTCGGGTACCCGAGACCGTATAACTGGGGCCCAATATTTGCAAGGTTAAATAGTGTAAGTAGTCTATTTAAATATTGTATTGTATTGTATTGTATTGTATTGTATTGTATTGTATTGTATTGTATTGTATTGTATTGTATTGT